GACGCTATTGTTGGGAAATTGGCAAGAGAAGGATACAATTTCTTGCATAACCAAAGCACTTAATCTCTGTGCCGTGAGTCCATTGTGAGGACTTTGTGTTGCAGTTTGAGAGAAAAAGTGGCTTTGTTCCCCCGTTATGAGACAACAAAGCTACAGCTGGTAGTTAGCCAAACAAATGTACATATTTCTTCTTTTCCCCTGAGTGAAGACGGAGGATTATATTTGCATGAGGATGCTGTTGTGGCTGTTTTCTCTCAGAGCACACGTGTGTCCCTGCTGTAATACGAATGAATCTCTATAGACATTTACTGGCACTTCCTGTATCGCCTGCTGCGCATCCTTGGCTGCTGACTCTCCGTTTAAATCAGAATATTACGCTGGAGAGTGATAAACCGGACGTTAACCAATGAATTACCCTCACTTCACCTTAGTGCAGTTTAGAGACTTGCAGTGCTCAGAGTGGATTTACTGGACAGCAAATCATTTTGTCCGTCTCATGCAGTTGCCCAGAATAACCCAGAAAAAAAGAAAAAAAAAACTGATAATCACGTGTATGAGCAGAGATTTAAACCCTTTTGGATTACCACTGCATGTCTCAATCTGTTATATAGGTCTGTCTGGCGGGTGCTATCCTTCGGCCCAGCTTGGCTTGTCATATTATCTATTTTAATACAACTATTTGCTCCCAGTGGACAGAAAGCCAAAAGGGCAGATTAAAGTGGTGTTTATAAGCCACCCCCCCCCCATGACTGGCATGCAAACACCACCAACAACATTATGGTGTCCTCACATCTGCTGTTTGGATAGTTTCAGGCTTCTCCACTGGGAACATGTCTTGACAATATGAGATGTATTTTACATTTATGTAGTGGTCATTTGGCTGACACTGTTATCCAGAGTGACGAGGGAATAGGCTTAAATCATTAGATCGCCTAAATTACAAGCAGCTAACAGCAAGGGTGGCAAAGTTGTATATTCAAGGGGCCTCATAAATACATAAACAAGTTAGTTAAAAATATACATCCATCAAAAATGCTAATGAATAGTTTTTGGGGTTTTTTTTTTACCAAACACTACAAACTGTTTGTAATTGTGCATGTAACAGTCATTAAATTCCAACCTACATGCATGGATTTGTTTGACTAGGAGTTTAATGCAAATCCTGTACTGGATCTGAATCTCTAACCATCTTCAAAGAAGCTATTTGTAAGTTTTTCTATCGCTACATAGCTAGCATTAGCATTAACAGCTGCTATTGTTGCATTTTTCAATACAAGAGTTTATAATAGGCCCTCTGAGCAGCACTACTTGTTCAGGTCAGCCTGGACGCTACAGTGACTCGGTATCGGGAAGTGACAAGATGGACCAGGCTTGAGCTAGCTGGTTAGCATGCTAACTTCAGTAGAAGAAGAGAGCTGATGGAAATAGAATTAAAACAAAAACAAGACGGTTTCTTTAGACTGCTCTGCTTTACTCAGCTCTTGGCAATTCAAGGAACCAAGTTTGATGCTCAACTCACAACGTTTCTTCTAGACTGGTAAGTAAACAACTGCTAATGCTAATAGCGAAAACAAGAAATGGCACCACAGTTTTACTCAGCTCTGACTCAGCTTGAATTGACCTGGACTGGGCAAAATGGTCGCCCATCCAGAGAGAAGAGAAGTGACGAGGGGGTTTTTAAAAAGATGAGAGAGAAGAGAGAAGACTTTTCTAGGTGAATGAAAAGTGATTCTACATGTTCACTCGTGTTCAGAAAAACTCCTCATAGGGCTTCAGGGGTTTCAGACAGATAACAAATATTCCTGTTTGTACAAGAAATATGAATTCCTCATGATCAGGAGGTTGAAATGTTGATTACACACTGGGAGACTGAAATGTTGAGGGGGTGAATAATGAAAAGACAACTTTGCAAAACTTATCACTTGGGGTCAAAGGTCAATTTAGTCCTAAACATGGTGCCAGAGGAAAGGTTATGATCTAAACTCCAACAAGCCTACATCGTCTGCGCACCTCTAGAATGACACATGGAAGCGTTTTCTGTTCTAGGTAAGTTATTGTTTTTTTCTATTCCCTAGTCCTTACTCCTGCTTCAGGGGGTTGGTTAAAAATAAAAAATAAAAGAAGGATTCTTTTTGTGTCCTGATTTCCCCAAGGCTGGGTGTAGCATTATTGGAAATTTTGACATTTTGGGTGGCACTAGAGAGAAACATCAGGGAATCACCAAAGATATTAGGTTTAATCCTCTTGGGAGAATCAAGGTCTGTACCAAATTTCATGACCATCCATCCACTGGCTTTCAAGATATTTCACTGCAGACCAAAGTGCTGCAGTCTGTTGAAGTGCACCAATGACTCATGACTTTGTTTGTATTATTGAATTTAAAATCACCTTGTTTCATCACTGTGATACTGAGATAACGAAACTAAACACAAGTTAGTAAAATACAGTGTTCCTAATCTTGCATCTGTGCTGAAAATGAAAATCCTTATATCTTTCCATGTGTTTTCTTGCAGTCCACTGGTTTATAATAATATGCAGCAGCAAGTGGTGCTAAAACCACAAATTAGAGAGAATCATTACAGTTAACAAACACCAATTTGCATCAATTATCTGAAGTGTTTTGTAACCATATCAAAGTCAATAATGATCATCTTGTGATACCTTTAGTCTGACTCGGTGTGAATGAAAGATGAAAGTCTGAAGTTAATTTAAACACACACACACACACACACACACACACACCATTACCTACTTACTGATTTTAATTTAAACCTATTTAATTTCCAACTCCAACTCCAAACTTTTTCAATCATGAAGTGTTAAGTTTTCATTTAGGCTAAAATCTGATGTTCAATCAAGTGTTACCTTGGTGTGTTTGTTATTTGTAGTTATAATTTATTTGTTTTGCCAGTTTTTAGGTGAGATATAGATGAGACTAGAGATTTAGATGAAATTCTAGGCTTTATCTTTTTTTAATCCAGCCTCTACAAACATGTAATTCCATGTTTAATGACGATTATCAGCATTTATTATCATTTTATTCCTCGTGCATAGATTTCACTTCATTACTGCGGATGTAAACAAATGTTCAACTGCTTTAAAAATGTTAGATTAAGTTGTCGATTTCTATCTAGTAGTATTAAACCTGCCAATCAAACAGGGAGTGATGAAAGCTACCAAGTGTTTTAGTGTTGGGGCGATTGTTTAAATTTGGTTCATAAACTTTTGCCTTCAATCATTACAAGAAAAGATATGAAAGACATATTCTGGTTCATTCTTTCATTAATGATTTATGATTTATATTTTACGGTTGCACAGATTACATCCTGTTCACTGATAATGGTCCAATGTCATCTATGCAATCTGCTGCTCAGATATGTTTTCATGTCAACTCTTGCTTAAAAAAGAGATACCTAAATGATGATGATTTAATGATTTCACTAAACTAGTTGTTGAAGTCACCTTCCTCTCCTCCTCCTGTAACCTTAATTTTCAAAAGCAGACCAGCTGATTTCACTGAGAAACTTTCTGCCAGAGACAGATAATCGCTGCACTGAGCTGCTGAAGGTGATAGAAGAACCCTGTTGTAATGATCCAGGAGGCAAAATCATTATCTCGGAGTAATGACACACGCACTGAAAATCCTGCTTTTGCTGCCATCTAGTGGTGGAAATTTTACACCCAAGCCCTGCACTTGATACAGTAATGCAAAATGACATCACTGTTGAAGTGAGGCCATACTGTATTGTGAAACAACACTTGAAACCTTAATCACACAGGGGTTTTATCACTATAATTTTAGACTGATGTTAACCCAGTGAGTTAAAGCGGCAAATAGAAGCCAATGAGATCAGTGCTGTGACTACAAACCTCAAATTAATATTCAAATATCTAAAACTGAACAAAAAGACCCAAACTCAAAGGTCCTGATTTAAGGTGTAACTGAAAGATAATTAAGGCATCTGACAGAAATTTAAAAAAAAAGGGAAATTGCCCCTCTGGGTGGGTTTTCACAGCTCTGTTTCTACTAAGGACTCGCTTGTGAGTACCGTAGAGTACAGTGCTTTCTGAATTGAGAAAATACAGCAATATCTCTCCTCTTGTCAGTTTAAGCTCACGCTGATCGTCTTTCCTGCAAGCAGCTCACTGCTCCCTAAAGTCTCATGGAAACCGCTTTTAAATGGCGCCTCATATACACAGAAAGCAATTTTGTGAAAATGGAAGCATCTACTTGGTTGCTTTCACTAAGAGGCATTCACCGTTTTGGAGAGGCTCAATTTTTCCAAATTTGAGTCAATTAACTTGCAAAACAAATGCAAGCACAGCAGAGACAAACTGCTGATTCATTCCCATCCAGGCTCTATTGACACATATTGATTAGACATTACAGTAGAAGCAGTTGATGAGGCAATATCATTATTGGATGCTGGTGTGAAGGTTTGTGTGCAAACATAAAACGGCCCCTGAGGATGGCCTTGAGGTTCATATATGGTCTCATAATGTGATGTAACATTAGGAAATGTTGTCAGACTGCAAATGCATGAGGATATGTAACCACTTATGATATTATATTTGGCCTGATTTCAATAGCTTCAGAAAATATTGAACATTTTCAAGATAGAAGCTGGATAAAGATAAATGAATCCATCGTGATAAATGATAAGATCCTCATTGTATAAGTGGATCTAGAGTTAAAACAGGACGAATATCGTGTATTTAAATGTGCAGAAAGATGCAAAGATATCTGTGCAAATCATCTTTCTCCATCAGCAACAGGTATGACTGCGTAATCCCACACGCCTGTAATTGCAGCCCAAATCCTATAAAGTGATGTGTTAGTTGGCGATTTTGCAAATGTTTTGCAATCGCACTCTTTATTCCCGCGCCTCTGCTGAAAGGCTAACACTCCCCCCTTTTGCCTTTTGTTTCCGAGGTGGAGCCTGTGATACCCCGACTTCTTCAAACTGAACTGCCGGCGAAGCAGACGGACGAGATAGGACTGGGACCAGCAGTCGGTGGCACACAGATCTGGGACGCAGCAGATCGGGAGGGACCATAAAGGCGGCTGCAAGGAAGAAGGAGAAGAAGGACGAGGAGGAGAAGAAGAAGAAGGAGAAGAAGAAGAAGAAGAGGGATTTTCGTGGGAGCGCTTCGGTTGAATAATCTTACACAAGACAGAGCCTCGAGAAAGATGAATTCTTTCATCCTGCTGTCGCTTTTTGCCACGGTTATCGTCGGGAAGTCACCTCGGCTGAAATTTGTTGTGCACGGTAGGCAGCTGCTGTTTTCTCTCAGTATTGTCTGATTTTAACACAAGTCTTACAGCCAATTATTTACGTCGCTGAGCTTATTTTATTATATTGTGTGTATCATAGGTCATGAATGAATGGGTGAACAGATGGATGGATGAGTGAATGAATGAACAGAGTGAGAGTTGAGTCATGAGATGATGTGGCCAGTTATTTTCCAGTTCTTCTTCACTGACCGATGTTGTCTTGTCCTTGCGCTGCACAAGCTGCACAACCAGAACCACTAAAGCCATATTGACAGGGGCTGCCTCTGGATTAATCTCCTAAAACACCAACACCCCCACCCCCACTTCCACACACACACACACACACACAGCCACCCCCTTCTGACCGAGTAGTAAATTACGCGCTCCACCATTCAGGCCCAGCACACATGTTCACAGAATCTAACAGGATGAGCATGTGGAGCAAAAGTCATTCTGCTGTATTATGTCAGTGTTAACAAGAACATCATGTGTAGAATAGGACTTGAGCAGCCTGTGTTCTGGCAGCTTGTTTTGTTTCCGTTAAATTTCCAGGTCGTACCCTGTGTGTGTGTGTGTGTGTGTGTGTGTGTGTGTGTGTGTGTGTGTGTGTGTGTGTGTGTGTGTGTGTGTGAACGCTCGAACATTTGGCACATTTGAATGATTTGTTTTTCTTGTGGCTTTTCTGTTTTGTGTTCTTATTCTGACAACTTGTATGTTCGGTTTCTCTCAGTGCACTGCAAGTTCACTATGTGCTAGTCTCTGGTTGTTTATCAATTAGGGCACCAAGGTTTTAATTGGTGAGAGTCCCTTCATATTCTCACGGCGCACTGAGAATAAAACTAAAGGCGCTCAAAAAAACCGCCTCTCCTCTGCCTTTTATTTTTTAAATTTTTTTTAAGAACATGGCGCCTGTTCGCTCTAATCACAGCCCGAGGCGGTGGCCTTTAAACACCCGCATGCAACCGCCGAAAAGCATCACTACTGAGAAATATGAGTCTTTGGAGGTTGACACAGTCAGTGTAGCTCCCCCGTCCATGCGGAGCTGCAATGCGGGACACGGCAGCTGCTTCACACTGCAGCAGAGCGGAGTCCGGCTCCGGGAGAGGAGAGAGGGGTTGCTTTAGGGTAGCAGATGCCACAAATACATATATACATGTACACAGATACAGAAAGGGGGTAGAGCGAGAGAAAGGGAGGGGAGAGCAATGAGTGGAAAATTCCAAGCCGACTTCTAGTTATCTATTCCACTCACGCCTTTTTACACCTCACACGGTCCTTTAATGTATTCAGCAATCAATAGAGATTGGGGCTGCGTGTCAAGTTATCTGTATCCCTCCCCTCCCCGGTGGAGGAGCACAATACAAAACGCACAAGATGACGGCCCCGTACGTGCAAGTCATATCAATCAAACTGGCTGTTATGCAGTTTCAGGGTTAGCTATACATGCCTGTTGTAAGGACACGCGCGCGCGCGCGCGCACGTACACACACAGGCGCACACACACACACACACACACACACACACAGACACTAACAGTGCACAGGTAGAAAACTGTCACAGGAAATCCATCAAGGGAGCAGTTTAAGCCTGAGGAGCTGGCGCTCTTTCAGCACCGCGGACAGCGCCTAGGTCCTCAGACGGTTAAATGTCCTCAATTTGCATGTCTTTGCCAAATGAGGATATTTGGCAGGTTCTCATACCTTCAAGTAACTGTTTCAAGGCTACAGCCTGATTTTAGGATGAAGGTTAAAACTGGGTTTATTTTAAGGGTTTTATGGTTAATATTCAACATGCTGTGATGGCTGAAGTTATTGTAGTTTCCAGTGAATGCATTACATTGCATTCTTTTAGCAGCCTTTCGTGTCCAAAGCTATTACTGTAAGTGCATTCAACCTCAGGAGGAACAAGATGTCATCAGAAATTTTAAGTTCATCCCTCCCAAACAAACAACTGAGAGGCTACAAGCACAATCAATACAAACACCAAGAAGGTTATAATTTTCAGTTTTTGTTGAGATTGAAAGCGTTTTGTTAACTCCTGTTGATATAAATGGGATAGACAAGCGATGCAATTCAACAGCATGATAAACTACAGCCTAAGCTGAACCGATGCCTCTCTAAAAACAGCCCCAACAGAAACTGGACAGTACAGCCTTCACAGATCTTTTTTGCAGCTCTGTTGTATTAGACTGCATTAGTTTTAGGCTGTTGTATTTACACTATACAGTGAATGTAGGCTTATGCAAATAAAAAACTGTCAGGACATGAAAAGGCATTAGAGCAAATAGCATACTAATAATAAAATTACAGTAGCATTAGCCTAACCAGTTTTTTGGCCACTTTAGGGAAGTAATTATCCAGCAGACATCTCCACTTGTAGCTCTGTTTTGTCAGCAACTCCTGAGATGTATATGTATATATGTATATGTATATGTGGCTCTTGAGCAGCTAAAAGTTCCATTACTTTCATTAGCTATTGGCTAACTTTTGTTTGTGTGCCATTTGGTAGCATAACATGTTTATGGTTTATCAGAGCTTTGTCTCTGAAAACTACTGACTGCTGCTGATAGAAACTAAGTGACAGTGACACAGAACTAAAACAGGAAAGCAATAGAACCAAAACAAAGTGTTGAAAGATGCTAAAGAGCTTCGCAGAGTTCATGTGGGTTCATCGCTACGAAACAGCAATAATACCAAAACCATAAATCGTGTTTAATATTTATACATAAGTGTGTGTGTGTGTCTGTCCAAGGATGAAACAGGGAAAAATTGGTGGGGGTATTAAGTACTTCTACTCACTTCTTCAAGGGACTGCATTAAGACTAGGATTTGGATTAGGTAGTGAATGGGGTGGGAGAAAATGAAAGTCTGCCTTACTTTATGTTTGCACACCTTGAATATCTCTGATGGATTCTCTCTCTGTTTGCCTTACTTTGCCTCTCTCTGCCTTTTGATGTCCCTGTCACTCTCAAGCAGAGACATGAAGAGAGAGAAAGAGGAGAGACATGGAGACAAATGCAAACTAGACAAAGAGACTGAGAGAATGACTGACCTCAAAGCTAATTTGACATCTGCAGCTGCATCCTAAATATCAGAACATTTTGCCAAAGTTCAGCCAACGTCTGACCTTCTCTCTCAGTTGGAGGCCTGAACACGTCAAGTCTGGTAGATTTTTCTTGTCATAGTCATAATGTAGGATCTCAACAACAAAACTACATCATTTAGAAAACAACATGTGCAGTGAATGATATGGAAATAAAATAGTGTATTATTTGCTGGTTCCAAATTTCCAAAGCCTCAAAAGCTATCAAAAAAATGTTTGATTTTCCTTCAGCTGTTTTTTTCCACTTTATCCAGAGTGCTTTATTCATGTACAAGTGGGAATAATTCCCACAAAAAACATCTGTGCTTTACTTTACTTTAATTAGCACATTTCTTAGTGCAATTAGGAATTTGTTTCTTTAAAAGTGACTCAGTAATTTGAAAATGTTTCAACTTCTTTCAAGGATTACATGCTCCTTGGGGGGTAAGGGAACTCTCCAGCCCTTGAGTTTAATGAAGGCTTTTTCTTTTTTCTTTTTTTTGAAAAACAAGGCTGTTTTTCTTCCTGAAAAGCTGACCTTTTGAAAATTCAAGGTTTTCACCCAACAGCACTGATTAAATGTCTAAGGCAAATAGAAACAAAAACATGCTCACAAATAGGTGAGAGCAAGAGAGAAGTTAGGACTTCAAATTACACCCAGAATGTGACATTTCTGTTGTATATGTCTGACCCTTTGAAATGATGTTGAGAAAGTCATGGAATAGGAGACTTATAAAGGACGGTACATTCTGTTCCATCTGTGAGCTTGTGGTTGTTGAAAGAGGGGGGGCAGTATCTCTGACAGTCAAACATGATATAGCACAGTTTTCTTCTTGTAAACAAACAAAGTTTCTGTGTCACATAATGTGTTTTGGGGAGTATTGTGCGTTTTTGTCACCTGCATATACAAAGAATTAAGCCACTTATGAAAACGTGTATTCACAATCTAATAGTGGGCAAATAGGGTAGGTTTAAGAGGATGCTTTGCCAAATGGTAAAAAGAATGTCTTGTGTTTGCATTGATCTTGTAATTTACTGCCCTCTTGTGGCCTCAGTAGGCTATTGTCTTTGGAAGCTAGGTTGACAAAGGCTGTGCATACTCGTAAATAATCCAGGGATCTTTGATGGGTTTCTAGCTATAGCTAGCTACAGAGAAGTGTGCTTGTCGAGCTGCTGTTCAGTAAATCCTTTTGAAAGGAAAGCTTTCACAGACATATTTATTTAGTTAACATATTTACAGTGTATGTAAATATGTAAACTGGCTTTCAGCTCTTTTAAATATTTGTGTCTCGTGTAGCAAGCTTTGGTCATGTTGAGTTCAGTTGTCTCTAAAGTCTTGTAAAAAACATTAAATTAATTAAGTTTAGAAGAATGATAACAAATAGCTTACCGTAACTTACTTTTGACATGTCACACAGATTGTCACAACACAGCTTGAGTCCATGCAACCTTTGCAACTTTGTCCAGTCACACTTCAGTTGGGTTATCCAAACCAAAAAATATTCATCAGTGTGGATTCATACAGTTTGTTTCATATAACTCATGCTAAAGAAATTTTAGCATAAGATCTTTAGCATAAGTAGCTGTTCTTACAGTAGCATACAGGTGAACATCAGCCACTGTTCTCTATTCAGCCTGTGCTTTTGACTTTCTTTGAGCTTAATGCAGGTTTGTCTTACAGAAGATTAACTTTTTCTCTGTCATTGAAGCCGTACTGAATCAACAGAGGCTTACTATGGCTGTGAAGATCTGCTTGTTAACTTCCAAAGCAAATATTCATAGTAATCTCTCAGCGTGCTTTGCCAGCTACAGAATGTTCTTCATAAGATTATCAGACAGATAAATGAATATTACTGTAACATTATGTTCTTACCTAAGGAATCAGCCATATTGGCCTTTCCTTGTTGCATTCCTCACTTGTATAAGCTTCATCAATTAGATTCACGCCAATAAGAGAGGCCTCTGTTTCCATAGAAACTTAGCCGGTTGGCTAGCAACCTGTAACAGTGATCACCAGCACTTCATCCTGGCCTTACTCTCATGACTGGGATGTCTTTTTATTTCAGGGATGAGCAGAAAATCATTACAAATACCAAGTAACCATCACCTTATAATCACCTTTTGTCATTATTAGTGTATCTACTTATATTGAAACATTAAGAGCAAAATGTATCATTAATTTGGAAATAAACTTTAATTTTCTACTCATGGAGTATCTTTGTTAAACATTAAACGGAAAATGGAAGAGATTGGGTAAGGAAGTCACTTTTATACCCCCTTTTTTTTTTGAAGTGACATGGTCATGGCACATACATACATTATTATTCTTTATTTTCATATATTTTCAGAAAAACAGGTAGCTGGTTGGTTTGGATCAAAATGTATGTTTCAATGCTTCAGGCTGTCATTTTTTGAAATTAAAACAAATTGAGAAATGTATTTTCTGGAGCAGAACCCAAGTGAAAGAAAAGGCTGGCAGCCATATGTGATGTTTTATAAACTTTGTTTCTGTAGAGCTCTTCGAGACCTTTAACTGCATGTTCTGTATGTAACCACACAAAATGCAGGGAATTTATTCTATTTGGAAATGCAGGCACAGTTGCAGTGTAGGTAAGTGTGAGTGTGATTGGATGTGTGATTCAGAGAGAGCCCAAATGTACTCTTGAGCCTTCTGGAGGTGTCTGGAGCGTAATTCAACCCAGCGTATGTGATGGGATTTGCCCACATGATTATTTCTGTAATATTTATGCTTCCACCAAATGCCCTTCTTCTTTGAGCACCCAAGCCGGGTTCCTGTAAAGACTTCATGTTTAATCTAAAACCACAAAGGGCAGCATGACGTCGGATCAGGTGTTTTGGTAAATGAAGCCAGTTCATCATCAGGACTCCTCGAGCTGGCTCCTGTATTGACGTCAGATTAAAAGTAGATTAAAAACCAGAGGTTTGGCTCTGTGCCATCGGGGCTTCTAGACTTTGATTCGACCTGCCTGAGGAGCTTAGACCGGCTAAATCTGGATCATCTTTTTAAATAACTTCCTGAAACTCAATTCAGCTTTCATGCATTGACCTTTCGTTATTATGTCTGACCTCGACTTTATGAATCTTTTTCATTATGGTACCATGTTTGTTTGCTTGAGATGTTGATTTTTCTTGATTTCATATCATTTGAAAATTGCCTTTTAACTGTAGAATCACTTCCTCTTAATTACTTAGTAGTGGCAATAATTAGTAACAGCAGATGTATTTGTTATTAAAATACAAAAAGGTTGTTTTTGTTTATGTTTAGAATAAATTTAGCGAGTATGGTTCACTAATTAAGCTTTATTACCACAGGGCATATTTTCATTTCAGAAATATAAACATACATTTTGACAGTAAAACCAACAACAGTGTACTCCATCAGAGCTCACCGCGCTAATCTATTTCATTGTGACCCACAGAGCTCTCCAGGTTCCACTTCATCAAACCCGAGAACTACATCAGCATGTACCATCAGGAAGGGAGCGACACGCTGTACGTGGGTGGCCAGGCGATGATCTATGTGCTGACGTTCACCGACAGAGGGGTCCGCGACCTGCAGGTATGCTTTTAATGGGATGCTCTAGGGGACTGAATCTCTCGGCTCCAGACAGTTCTCTCTTTAAATATTTTGGAGCGACTCTGCTGCTGTGTAGAGAGAAATTATAAAAGATCACTCACCAGCCACAAGCTAAGTACTGCCAAGTTATTAAGCCAGTGCACTTCGAAAGCCACTTTGGCAACTAACCAATGTTTGGAAGGGCTGTTTGTACTTAAAAATGATGGCGGCTGGTATACTAGGCAACAGAGATCTAAAAGGCTGGAGAGGCAGGTCTGTAACCAGAATTAAAGCCCCACCACAGGTACACCCACACATGTGTTTGCACTTACGCTGCCTGATTAAACCCCCTCTTAAGGAGTTTTTGGCTTTGTCAGTGCTTGACTGACATCTTGCTAAGTCCCCCGCTGCCATTGTTAAGGTGGGACAACTTATGTGATTATATCCCTGGCAGAGTCAGGCAGACTAACTCAGAACACCTGTGTGGGTGAGCAGGGCCTGTAAGTCATACCAGTGGATCTTTACTTTACAAAGATCAAAATATCCTGGTTTGATTTTCAACTGTAGAGCTGTTTAAGGGAAGCGAATAAAATGTTGCCCCTTGACCCTTCCTCACTGTCTTTGGTGAGATGCGTGTGGTTGTACTGCCCAGCTTCCAAGTGTGGATGTGTTGGACCTTGTGTAAAATGTGTGTGTTAAGTATGGGGCTGAAGCCAGAAGGTAATTAGCCTAGTTTAGCATTAGGATTGGAAGCAGGTGTGAACAGCTAGCTTAGCTATCTCCAACAGCTAGCCTAGCTCTCTCTTAACAATTCACCGCGTTGTCCACAGCCAGAAGGTAATTAGCCTAGTTTAGCATTAGGATTGGAACCAGGGGTGAACGGCTAGCCTATCTCTCGCCAACAATTCACCCAGTTCCCCACTAATTAGGTGAATTTGTGCACTTGAATTTGTGAACCATGCTAGCTGTTCCTCCCTACTTCCAGGTTTTTTTGTTAGGCTAGGCGAAATGCCGGCTTGTCTCAGCTCTAAACTTAACGCACAGACACAGAATATTTTCCCCAAAAAAAGTCAGTTAAAATATAGTTTTTGGTTGGTGGGATTAGTAACTACTATTCATGGTAAATATTAACCAGGTTTCTCTGAGATCTGGCTATCAATTATAACTGCAATTACTTCTGTATTTTTAATTTGGGAGACATTCAAATTTGAAAATGCTACTCCGAAATATGATGAATTATGAAATGTAATTTGCTGTATTTTAAATCGCAGAATGACTGACAGAGTTGCAGTAAGTAACACTAAACTAATTACTCCCCTGTTGCTGTTTGCCAGACTGTGTGTGTGTGTGTGTGTGATGACGACAATTATAGCCCCCCCCCCCCCCCCCTCCCGCTGGGAGGGCGACACAGTGAGCCAGTGAGGGCAGAGAGAGATGAGACAGCTGGCCTGTCACTGACCCAGTTCAGCAGAGACCCGGTGAAGGCCGAGGAAGTTGTGTCACACATGCATTAATGAAGCTGCACTAACATCTCTCTGTGTGAGGAGGAGAGAAAAACATAATTCAATGAGCTAATGATGTCAACATAGGCTAGTCAGTGATGACACTGTAGCCCACACACTGTAATCTCGAGCCTTACAAATTGAAGAGGCTGTAAGCCTGGCATTTCACCCAAATATGAATATATGCCCTATTTTTTTCAGAATAATTTCAGGCTTAATGTTGGGTTTTCCTCAGTGGAGACATGACGACAGGTTAGATGGAGATAACGACTGATGATGTGTTTGGCATTGAGGGACAACTCTGACGACTGATGGTGTGTTTTTCTTACTGTCAGTTAAATGACACGCTGTCAGGTTGAGTTATTTACAGTCCAGGTTAGTTTGGAGAAGAGTGACAGTTGAAAAAAAAGCTGTAAATATCAAGTGTCCTCCACACAGAACGAGATTCAGCAACTGTAGAGGTAGATATTTATTACTAAAGGGTCAGTAAATTTAATAATCTATTTGCTTGAGTGAAGGGCACAACAGTTTTCTCACAAAGATGAATTTGTTGTACTTCTTTGTGTTTCACTTTCTATTCCTCTCTCGGCCTACATGTACCGACAGCTGCAACTCAAGGCTGTTGTTATGGGGGGGGGGGGGTTATGGAGTGTGCTGAAATAAATTCTGGGAAATGTGAAGTACAGGAGACAGGTTGAGGTAAAAGGGTAGAACAAAATGTAAACGACAAATTTAATAACGAAATAGCTCCTTGAATGCAGTGAAAAAAAATATCACAGAATGCTGGAACGTTGGTGCAGGTTTTTTCTGTGAGGGCTGTGCTTTAGAAGCTGCAGCAGTGGGGTCGCTGCTTTCATGCCGAAACAGAGCAGTGTGAAAGAACTTGGCACAAATTAAACAGTCCTTCCTCCCACAGATCCCAGCGGCATCTGATCAGACTGCAATTGATACCTGCAAGGCGAAGGCTGCGCCACTCGAGGTAGAAATGCATCCTTTCCGTCAGCACCTCCATCAGTGGTGCAAAGCATCCCCCTCCTCCATTTGTGTATCATCATCCTGTTTCTCATTAATATCAACATCATTGTGATCATCTGCAGTCGCACTACAGTGAGGTTCATGCTTCAGTCTTCAGTTTTAATTCAGTTATTTAGATTAGGTTTTTTTTTGTTGTTGTTGCTAGGACTTAAGAGACTACATCATTCAAACAAACACAATAAAAACATAGGAAGACATAAAAATTGCTAATTTATGCAGATGAGATTGAATGAATTGAATTTCACAAGAGACAGGTTCACCTCAAAACAAACAAACCAAACAAGGCGCACAGATGAGTGAGCTGTTGATAATTTCACTGAGATTCCTCAGAGAGACAGAGAGGGTGGCAGGATTTTATTACAATATTCAAATTAAAATGAGCCTGATAGTGTGGGAAAGCTTTAAGTGCTCAGAGGATGAGGAATAATCTTGAGCAGTGCAGGATGCAGTGCTGCTTAATATGCGGCTGTCACAGAAAATAAAGAAATCCAAATGTACAAAAACAGGTTGAGCCTGGCTGGAGAAGTCGATGTCTTGGTGTTTAAAAACTGTACCAAGACCATTTTTGCCAGCTTTACATAGATGAATAATTTAACTTTAATGCTGTTATATAATTACAGGAAATTAACTAGATCGTTGAATGTAATTTTCCATTCATACTCAGGGTCAAATTTTGCATTTTCTTAATGGCGAAATAAAGGAAATTAATTTTTCATCTCCTTGGCCAAATGTAAAATTGAAATATAATTACCTGTTCTCTGTCATAAGTAAGGCAATGCTAACATCTGTGAAGGTCCATGTGTGTGTGTGTGTGTGTGTGTGTGTGTGCTGTCATGACCACACGGACTGCATGCACCTACACATGTGGCGACTGAACGTGTGTGGAGTTGTTCCACATACGGAGGCAGTGGCCATAACAGTATCTACAGAATCAAGTGCCTGTGCATTTCCATGTACCTGTTTTGGAGAATATCAGGTAAAAATCAGTTTAAAATTCTTGCACTCACTATAGATGTTTTGATCCTACGACCCCTTGTTGGTTAAAATTCATGCAGTTCATAGTTTTATCAGGTGCAAACCGATCAGTATTGCAGGTCACATGTGGTCATGCTATGTGGCTACGCTAACTAGACGCAATTCTGCCATCGCAAAAGGACATGTCCAGATATAAGAGTTGAAATTTCACCATGATGATCACCTGAATTCAAGTGCTTATTTAAAACAGCTAAATAGCATCTCTATGTGTTTACATTAGACTCTAAAAAAAAAGGAGGAAGGGTGTGTGTAATATCTACAACCTTAGAGGATGATTCTTGGATCTAATCTGTAGATAATAGGCAGCCGTTCATAAAACAGTCAATATCTTGATCCAAAAGCAACAAAACCTTTTATAGAAAGATTACTAGACTGTGTTCTTTATTCAGGCCATTCGGGTATAAAGTTTTAAAGGGTGTATATTCTGAGCCATTTGCTTTTCAATAAAGATTTTCCAATGTCACCACCTCTATCACTCATTTCAGTTTTTTCAACACCATAACATTATTGTCTGGTAGATTTCCCTTTTTTTGCTGTATAGAGTCTTTTGTTGCTTTTGAGAATCGCTGACTTAAGACTGCATCTGCACAACCCTTATCTTTAAAGCACTATTGCATGATTTCACTTTGCTCTCTCTCTCTGAATTCTTTTTCTGAACTGCACGCTCTCCTAAGTGTATAGAATTGGTTTGTAGGCAGACTCGTTTTAAAAGAGGTGGGATGAAAACTTTTTATTATTTTTTTTATTAAAGTTATCTCTCTGTAAATCGTGGTGGAAATTGCCACACATATTGAAGATGAAAACCCACCACAATTGTGTGTATTAAGTGGCACTGTAGTTATGGAACAAAACAAAGAGGGCAGTTTCTTCCCTGCACAAACGAAGCTGAAGATTGCAGAGAGCCTGGCAGAGGCAGATGGTGGAAAATGAGATCGTTCTGAGCGATGCAGTAAATCTTCCCCAATAAAGCAAACCCCCGGCTTGGAAGGGGGAATGAAGGACAGGAGGAAGCATCCTTCGGTGACAGACAGCCACGGGGTTTGTGGAAAACATTACCAACGGAGTGAGACGGAGACTTAACAGTGGGTAGCAAACCTAATTTGATATATAAGACTTTATTTCTAAACTATCGTCAAGGCCACGGTGTTGTGTGACTATCCACCTCAGCTCCAGTTTGTCTAGAGCACACAGAGTATTCGGAAGCTGAGAGCAATAAGCAAATACACCAAGGGCAAATACGGTCCTTCAATCTTGCCTTACATCTAAAAGGCCTGATCCTGAATGAATTTCAGGTTGAGATTAACTACAGAGAAATCTGCTAGAAAAAAAAAAAAAAAAAAAAGGGCAGTTGTACAGAACAGTAAGTACTCTCAACCATGCAGCCAATGACAACAGTTGTATAACGTCCTCTGTAGCTCTAGTGGAGCTTTGTCAAGACTGTGTAAAGTTCTCTTGGCTTGGATTTGTGGATTGCATGAAAAACTGGCAGCAAAGGAATGAATACTCTTCAGTTGGGAGTCTCGTGCTTTGATTTTGACCAGATTTGTTTCCCACAAGTCTCTCATCTTAATTGAAGTACAAGACTAAATCAAATCACTGGAAGTCGATTTTTAAAAAGATACATGTTCATCCGTGTGTTCTGACCTTGTGAGGAGGCAAGCGTGTTGATACCGGAGGAGTCTGCAAAACCCCAGATTACCTTCAATGACAAAGTAATATTATTTCCATACTAACATATTAAGAAATCCCAGTTTTTTACAATATCTGCGCATGTTAACCACAGTATGGTCAAGGTTAGGGTATTGTAAAGTAGGAGGTTCAGAATTAAATCTTCATGGGCATTCAATCCTCTGACCAAAGGTTTATTTTTAAATCTCAGAGTAATTGCATTTCTAAAACATGAAGGGGAAGAACACACATGGTTTGCTGAATCAGACGTATCACCCCATGCAAAGGTGAAAATAAAAATGGATGAGTGGGAGTGAAGTCTTTAAATAACCATAGAGTGACCAGGTGAACTCAATTAGGTAAATTGGGAGGGTGGTAAGGGTGAAAACAAGAGCCAATCAGCGATGAGGAAAGGAAAGGAAGTGAGGTTGGTGAAGAAAGGCAGAGGAAACATGGAAGAAAAAAGGGATCTTTACAGCAGATATGGTTGGAATTAGAAGAGTGGTTAAAGATATGTAAAGATTGTGCTTACAGTTAATAAAAACAAACAAAATTGCAGGTCTGTAAATTGGGACACGAAGTCCGGTCTCCTGCATTAAAGTCAGATGTGCTACATGCCCAAACCCCACCTAGAAAATGGAAATAAATCCAGTGCAGCATGATTAAATATGGATGTAATTCCTGTGGATACCGGGTTGGTAATCTAATGAGCATTGTCCTTCAATAACACAACATGATGCATCAGAAAGAAAACCTGACACCAACTTCTCCCCAGTCACAGAGACAGGTTTGCGGTTGACAAGAGTTACTGGCCTGAGTGACGCCAACTCATCTGTTATTCTGTCAGACAGCATATGTCAGTCTCAAACCTTAAACCTTAAAGCCCCTGGTGAAATGTGGACGGCCTTTTGCAAAACTGCCCGAACTCAAACTATTTCTTCAAAGAACAGAAGTCCACAAAGTAAGAACAGACAAACTTGCCTACACAAAATAAAAGATATTCAGCCTACCCACCCACCTACCCATGCACCTACCCATCCACCTACATATCCACCTACACACACTTACACAAGCCCTAGTCCTGCTTGTTGGACTCAGCACACTTACTGACTTACTTGTTTTCAGTTTGCTTTTCCATCAAGATCTGTGATTTGACTCTTTTCTAAAAGCCACTTAGCACATTTTTGCCAAAGATGCACTTTCAACATGAGCCACCGTCACAACTTAAAGCCACAGTTTACCCCTTAAGGGTTGTTCTCAGTATTCATTTTCATGCTCCATTCAGTAATGTCTCGGGGAAAGCAGTCCATTTTCTGTACTTAATGAATAAGTGATGCATATGGAGTATTGCAGTGCTGTACTGCAGGGCTAAGCCTCCTGTGTCCTGTCTGCCAAAAATGATCAGAGCATGGATTGCCTCCAATGTTTCTTATACCTCTCTCCCTCTCTCTGAGCAATCCGCTTTTTCTCTCGTAATCTGTTTTGTGTTTTAGACTTGCTTTGTTTCTCTAGCCCTCTATTCCACCTTCGTCTCAATCCCTTGCTCGTCGTCTTGTCTCATCTCTCCCTTTGTGCCGTCTCTTTCTCTCTAATCAGTCTTGCACACACCCTCCACTTTTGCCTCCCTGCCTCTCTGCATCTTTAATCCCCTCTCCCAATCTGTGTGTTTTTCCTGCCTTTCCCTCCTTGTTTCTGACTCATTTTCTGCCTTTGTCCCCTCTCTTTTTGTCTCACTCATGCGCTCTTTCTCCCACAGCTGGAGTGTGATAATTTCATCACAGTCATTCAGAAAGTAAACGACACGTTCATAGTATGCGGGACAAATGCTGGGAGCCCGAGGTGCTGGATGCTGGTAAGAGTTTCTTAAAACAAAACGCTGCTACATAATCCTATGCTGAGCCTGAACAATCTCAAAATCAATCGCTATTAGTATTTATTTATTTGTCCACTTATTTATTATCATGGAGGATGTTTTAACTCATTAAGTGCCTCCAATGATAAGTTTTCTAAAAACCCATGTGGTGGGTTTTGTCATAGAAAACACTAAGATGTAAAAGCATGAAGATGCAGGGCTGCAATAAACTGGATTTAAAATGCTAGACTTCCTCCAGGCTGAAATGTCTCCTACACTCTGCAGGTAAATGACACTGTGCTGACTGACGTCCAGGGCAACGGGCAGATAGCGGCGGCCTCTGACATCTCACCGCCCTACCCTTCCCAGAGGTCCATCAGCGTGCCTGCAGGTAACAAACAGAAGAGACAAAGTGCACGTTTGCTTGCAGGAGTACAACCAAGAGGAAAAAGAAACAGAATCTGTCCAAAACATAATCACACATTGTTCATGATTTAATATCAGCAAAGGAAGACTGTTTGTTGTTGCCAGTAAACCTTATGATGTCCACAACCAGCAGCTAGAGGTTTGATGTCATGAGGCCTTTAAGGTTCTGTAAACTATCGTCACTGCCACTGGATGTTGCGCTAGACCACCAGCATCTCAGACCAAAACAAACGCTTCATCGGCCACAACTCCGACCTCTGTTCGGCCCCAACCCCCCCCCTTGCTGTGATATACTCCATAGCAATGCTGACAGTTAGCCAGCTAGCGATAGCAACATTTGCTGAACAAATTCATAATGAGGGTGACAGCTAGTTAGCTAACGTTATCATGCCCAGTGTATCCGGTCTCTAATGAAAACAGACATTTAATATTATGCCGCCATCAAGTTACTTACACATTGAGGAGAAGAAGCCAGTTCTGAGTCAATCTGGAGCCCTTTAGCAGCTTATAGGGTTCTCCTCATGGTAAAGCCAGTATTGGCTCCATGGTCAGACTGGGAAAGAAATTCAGCCTTGGACTTATCTGCTGGGACTGGCCACATGAATGACACTGATGGAGCCGGTAAAGACACTGATTGAGCTGGTAAAACCTTTAAAAACTTTTTGGATGTTTTGACGGTTGACCTGCTGACCGGGATTTGAGTTGATTGTCCCCATCTCTTTCTTCCCTGTCCTCTGGTCTTATCTCTTTCTTTGTCAGAGGCTTTTTTAGTTGAAAAAGTGGTTTCCTCAGTGGAGGAAATTCTGGAAGATTGCTCTCACCCCAACCATCATCCCTCCTAACCCCTAACTAAGTCCTTTTTGTGCTTACACTTTACCAAACTTTAACCATATCGGTGTCATTTTAGGAGCACACACATGAATCATTTTGGTAACAATGATTTGTTGGTCTTTGAAGGCATCAACAAACAATATCAGTCAAAACAGTTAGCACATCACATCAGTAACTTTCATTACATAACATTTACAGATAAGTTTTAACTTTATTTAATGTTTAAGTATCTGTCATTTTTAATTTGACAAAAAATGGTACAAAAGTTTGCAATCATAATATGCTGGTATGATTATTCCCAATTAGAAACACTGCCCACCTATGCATCAGTGTAATCATTACATTACAAGAGGAAATGAATGAGGTAATTGGGGACAATCAAAGGATGAAGTAGTCTCACTAAGTTCCATTTCAAAAGCGTCACCTTGTTTCAGGTGTCACCTGTTCAGATATCTTATTTTGGAACAAAGCCACCTTCAGCTCTTTATATTAACTTTGCTCATTTGTGTCGCTGAGCAGCTGAGCGACTCTTGTGAGTCCTGGGCTCCCAGGAGCGATCTGTCTCATATTATCACTCTCTATTCATAACATGCAAATGAGTGAAGGATTTTATCTAAAGTACTTCACAATAATTTAATGAGCCAATCCTCCACAAGATAGATGTGCGAGCAGATTTTAATAAATTATGTAGTGCTCTGCTGTAGGCTGATATATGTTCTCTACCTTGAACGAGAACTGAGACGTAACCCTTTTGTTATTACGTGTCGTTTTCTTGTGCCTGAGTGATGTTGAGTTTGAACTTGTATTAGTGCTTTAAATTTTGTAGATCACACAAATCATTAAAAAATTAAACATGTTGTCTGTGAGTTGAGTAGCTTTTTGGGTAAAAGCTGAGGGTTAAGGTTAGGGGCGGAACAAAACTTCGGGGCTTAGCCCAAACTTAAGGATGTCAGGGGACATGCTCACCTAGGGAAAGTTTTTTTCTTTACAGCAGTTACATGCACTATTTTTAAAGCCATTTGACTGAAACCTAACTCTTCCTCTCCTGGTACACAGGTTTTTTCCTGTTCTTTCCTCTTCGCAGTCTCACTTATTTTCCCTCATTGCTCGGCCAGCCCTGCAGTCCATTAAGCCCGAATGGTCCTTACGTTGTCAGAGTCACCTTTATTTTCTCAGTGACAAAGCTCCATTGATCAGCTGGTCCAGTCAGAGAAAAGGAAAAGAGAAAAGATATTTTCTTATTTGTCCACAGGAAACCAGAATATCCTTTTAGGTCCTAGTGGTTTTGATCATGCTGACAAATTCTTTAAAATAGCAACATGTATCTACTGCATATACATGCCCTGCAGGTTTTGTTTACCTCCGTAACTCCCCCTGTGTCGAGGAACATAAATATATACATCAGGAAACTCAATATCTGGCCCCAATTCAACATCCACAGACCACACTGATTGTCTGCTATGTCCTACAAATCATTGTTTGTGCAGATGGCAGAACCACAAACTAGAAGTGGAAGTGCATACCCTCTATGCTGGCACACATTACCCCTTGTGAAAACACAGGCCTGCTAATAAAACTTTATGTTTAGCTAATCCAGCTCCACTGGACCGAATGGAAGGCGGATGTTGTGGGTGTGATTCCTAATTGTGTGATTATCGAGCAGCTTAGAGTCACATTTACCGAACAGAGATGTTTCCAATCAAACCAACCTTTCAGGAGTCACGGCACATAATGAGGGACGGATAAACTGTCTGTTTGTTAAAGCATCTAATGCAGATGGATTGTTTGTGGAGACTGAGAAATTAGCGAGAGGTTAGTTTGCGTTGCAGGATGCTCATCCGGATGGGGATCGATTGCTGAGGCAACGAGCCGACCCTTTGCTTGAGTTGAGCAGCATTCTAATAACAATCAGTCCTAATTAAGATGTTACTGCCACAATTTCAAGCGCTTCCCCTCTGAATTGCTATGGAGAAAGAGCTCAACAGGGGGTTATAAGAATATGGTGATTGTCGGCTGCTCATTGGTGCAGTCAGCTATTCTGCCTTGATGTCTTCTTTCCTCTTGCGCTCCTTCTCCTCCCTTGTTTTTTTATTCTGTCTTTGGCCTTCCGGGGGCCTCCTTTTTTCTCCCTTCACTCTGCCTCTCTGTGTTTAATGTTCTCCCTCTGTGTCTTCTTCTCCTCCAGCTTCAGTCAATCCCCCTCCTGCGTCGCTCCAATCTCTCTCCCTCTCCCTCTGAACCTTGTATCCATCCATCACACTGACTGTCTGCCTTTTCTTGCCCACGGTTCACCCTTTCTCTTCTCCTCTCCATCTTTTTTTCCTCACTGTCTCAGATGGGAATCTGTATTCTGCTATGTCGTCGGTGCGAGGTCACGCCGGCTCGATCCGGCGTACGTTTGGCACCCAGAAACTCCTGAAGTCGGAGAACATTTGGCTGCTGAGTGAGTAGGAGGAAGGGAGTCACGCAGAGACCGTACAGGTTTAGACTAATGAACATAGAGCTGGTGGGTGGAACTCTCTGTAAATCATCTACTATCATTCCCTTGGGGAGAAATAACATGTAGGAGCATTCACTGTCGGTTCTCATGGTTCTGGTATTTACAGCAGTAAAATGCAAATCAGTAAAATGCAAATCAGATACTTGTGCTCAATCTCACAATATCCACTTTATATACAGACTAATATCAATAGTATTTCTTTAAATAAGATAATGGACTGTAATCATGAAATAAGACTACACTAGAAGATGATACTTGTTAATTGTTGACTTGTTTAAATCTCATCACACAGATCCACAGTTTGCTGGCGCTGCCATAATCCCGTCTTCGCTAAAGTTCAAGGAGGAGATCTACTTCTTCTTCAGTGAGCTCAACAAGACTGCCAGAGTGGATGAGGAGCCGTACAGGGCCCGCATTGGTCGAATCTGCACAGTAAAGAAAAAACCAAAACCTTTTCCTACTTTTGCAACCTCTCCTCCCATTGCATATATATTTATATATGAGTTATGAGCAGTGCTATCAAAGTGTTTTCTGAGATTGTTTCATCTGAATACTTTCTAGAAGCCTGGAGAATTTGTGTGAGTGTGATATTTCAAAAGAAAGCCACTGGTTTTAAGTGAATTACTAATGAAATGACCTAAAGGATCTAAAGCTTCAAAGTTTGAATAAATCCCAAATGCTCTGAGTGAAGCTACATAACATATATTTTCTGGTTGCTGCTACACTCTTCTTCACTGTCAAGAAACTTTGTTAAGATGTTGCATTTTCTCAACACTCTCCAATCAGTGATGTCAAAGCAGGTGTTTCCTAATCAGTTGTCAAAGGCAAAACACCTGCTGCTCTGTGTGACTGATGATTGAGCTCCTGAATTAATTTTGAGAAATATTCACAGGGGCCCAAATCAACAGATAAAGCTGTTTTAAGGAATATTTCAACATTTTGTCACATGCTTCTCAACATACACTTCCTTGCTCTCTTGCCAGGGGTCAATCTGTTCATCTCATCTCATCACAGAGCTAGCAGTTTCCCCCAGCTTTCAGTCTTTATGCGAAGCTAGCAGCTCCTGGCTTTAGCTTCACATTTAAATGTGAAATGTGCAAAGCTGACACGATCCTGAATGAGTCTCTCTGGACCCTGTTGTTAGTCAGCAATGCTACAAAGCACATGCTAACTACTTTTTATTACACAATTTTTCTTATTTCCACACATGTAAAAAAGGCCTACAGTCCCATATTGCAAAATAAATCTGGCTATTTCTTCTGGCCCAGTATACTCCTGTTTTCCACGGCCCAAATCTGGCCCATATACAGCATGATTATCAGATGCTACTTCCAAGTCTGGGCCAATTCTGGCACACACACAGAAAATCTTCCGCCAATGCTGGAGGACAACAGCCGGAATCTGCCCCGATGTGGAAGTATATGGGCCAGACTCAGGCCGGGGACCCAGGCGTATGTTTGGCCAGGAGTTTCATTTTGCTATGACAGCTTTGAAATAGTTAGCAACCTCTACCTGCTACCCGTTTGTGTGCTAATTAGGCTACAGCAATAGCTGTTCATTATATAGCTACATTAATGCTCACTGTTTAAACACTATGTCTTTACTTTGCTAATTACATAATGTGCTGCAGAGCATCTATAACAAAGCTAAGCTAGCTGTTTCTACTGCTTTGTGCTAAGATAGGCTACAGAAGTCTTGAACTAATTTCTGCACCGGAACCTCCGAGATAGATCTCTTTTGTTTCCGACCAAAATGTCAGAGAATTCCCATAAGGGAGGGAAAAGGAGTCCTTTTATCCTGAGTTAGGGGGTCAGTGTCTTATCTCTTCAGGGTGAAACACAGTCAAATTCAAAATTACTAGCCTGGCTGCCCTGTAGGATTTGGTTGTGAGAGTTCTTGTATGTTATTTCCAGGTGGATGAAGGGGGCATTAAAAGCCTGCTGGCAGACTCGTGGACCACCTTCATGAAGGCCCGGGTGATGTGTGGCACGGGCAACACTCAGCAGCAGTACAACAACATGAAGCAGGCCGTGGTGCTGACAGCGCAGGACAAGAGGGCCGGGGTCATGTACGGCCTGTTTTCCAACGCATGGTGAGCCAGAACATCCGTCTAACTCAGCTAAAAACTACAGAATAAAACAGAAACACACAGCAGCACAAAGCTGACACAAAGACACAATACACACACAGGTTTCTCATTATAGCATAGTTAGTTTATAGTTCATTTAACTGTAGTATCAGGTTTCTGTTGGATGAAGAATCTGTAAGATTAATACATGGTGCAATCTTCTGCAGAAGGCCTTTAAACAACTTGTCATATTTTGCACATTTTAAATTACAGTCGTTTTACGAGAACAACCGACACATATGCTCTTTGGTTCATCAGCTGAAGTGCATATTTATGATGCAAGCTTGCACGTCATGTTACAACCTCACACATCAAGTTTAACTACTTATGGCAGATTGGTAGTCCTGTATTTCTCATGTAGTTGTGCAGCTTTGTTCACTGCAAATACAAAATAGAAACACCATAATCCAGAAACAGTTAACTTTAGCTTTATTTGATCTACTTGCAAGCGACAGTTTACAAAACTGACCATAAAGTTCTTGCAAACCTAGTCCAAAAATCACAATTTAAACGTAGACATGACAATGTGCAAACAACAGACAACGTCGGATCCTCTGCCCTTGCTATGTGTGTGTGGGTGGACAGCTATGCAGCGAGCTACGCAGGGGTACCAGGGGAGCAGGCTGTAGATGCCTATAAATGTTTGCTTGGTCACAGATCTGACAAAATTCAATTTCAGTTAAATGATCTGTGTCAGCCGTGTCGCCTCCGGCAACGGAACACCAGACTGAAACCAACAGTCGGTGACCGAATATCTAAGGTTAAAAACTGGCACATTTTCTTTCTGTGCTACTTTAAAATAGTGGTATAGCTACCACTCAGGGGAGGCGGGGGGGGGGGGCGGGGGGAGGGGGGGGGGGGGGGGGGGGTCCACAGCTGAAAACAGTCGCCCCCAAAAGCTGGAACCTCTGGTCACAGAGATTCACAGGAAAGCAGTATTTTTTTTTTCTTGTGCATTAATAGATGAGATTTTCAAAGTAGATAAAGGAGACCTCTTTGGTTTAACGAGTCACAAATGCAAGACCCATGCAACTGGCAACAAGGGATATCAAGTAGACATTGCTTCATACTAATGGTGTGGTGTGCAATGGATGCACTGACTGTGTGTGTGTGTGTGTGTGTGTGTGTGTGTGTGTGTGTGTGTGTGTGTGTGTGTGTGTGTGTGCGTGCGCGTGTGTGTGTGTGTGTGTGTACATGCGTGCGCGTGTGTGTTTCAGTTCAGCTCAGCCTCTCACTGAACTCCATCTCTTTGTGCTATTTCACTGCTGTCGCTCTCCTTTCCGTCTTGTCTCTGTACATTTATATCAGATTCACAAAGCTCTGAGACACAGTACCTGCAGATTCTTTCCTCAAGTTGAAAGACACCATGTCTAACATTCACTTCGCTTCCTGTTTGAACACACAGTAAACCAAGAGAAAGAGAAACTAGAACATGCTAGTCGAGAATTTCTAGTTGCTCCACAGCAAGTCCCTCATAACAACTTTCCCTGGTTTTATTTTGGGTGTAATTACTCTTCTTCTTTCTGCCTTTGTTCAGGGGCAGAACTGTGATCTGCGCTTACTCCATTGAAGATATTGATCAAGCCTTCTCCACAAGCAAACTGAAGGGCTACAGCAGTCCGTTCATTGGCAGTCGCCCTGGAATGGTAAGAAAAACCAACATGACTTTCTGTGTTTTTTTTAATCACACCAATCTGAAGAAAAACATGCAATTGCATGAGTCAGCCTTTATTTCAGAGGAGAAAAGATTGAAGAGCTATTTTTGAGAGGCATGAGTTAATAAAAGAAAAAGCAATTTTGAGCTCTTTGTCCGAGGGCGATTTATTTTATTCAACTTCCCAGCCCAGTCTGAATCGATTACATCACTTCTCCCCTCAGTGTGTCCGCAAGAACTCGACAGCAGGAGGTCAAAATGACATCAAAAACCTGGGGGTGATCAGATACTACCCAGAAATTGAGGATGTGATCCGGCCCGTCGGTGTGGCTCCACTTGACCTCCCCACAGACGACCAGATCACACACACCGTGGCGGACATCGTGCTGGCGGTCAATGATGAGCACTACAGCGTCCTGTACCTCGGAACAGGTGTGTGTGCATGTATATACATGCATGTGTAATGTACTGCAAATCAACCGCAGCAGATTTTTCTCTCCATTTCGAGAATTGGTCGTCTTGTTTCAGCACCGAATACGAGACTACTCCTTGCAGTCGCCATTCACAATGATCTAATGGGGTATCTCTGTAGCTCTGACAACTCAGTGACGAGGCACTTGGCTGACCAATGATGGAAATATGATCACTCAGTCAGTCAGACAGTCGGTGACATTCAGGATTATAGGGGGCTGGCCCTGCTGTGCGGTCCAGCCAAAAATTGTTGTTTAAAACTGATGGTCTGATGGTCTTACTGCTCATGTTACTTGCCCCAATGGACTCCATTGTAGCACAGTTGCCTTTATCCCAGATCTAAGCAGTGAAGTTGCTGTAACAAGTTATGAAAACCAAAAGATATCGTGGCCAAAACAGCAAAAATAAGATTAAAGTTGTAAAAAAAAAAAAGAAATCCAGGCAACAGGCAAAAGCAGGACCCATTTGTCTATATCTCCCTTATGTTCCTGTACTTGTCTTGTTTCGGTCGGTTGGTTACTCTGGCAATAAAGGTGAATAGAGAGGGTAAAAATCCTATTCTCTGCAACTGATAAAGACACTCAAAAGTATTTGCACTTGTATATATCAGGGCAAGTGAGTCGTACAACTCAAGGCTCCTCCAGTTCAGCCACACAACACTATGGCCAAGCAGAGTAAAAACACATTGCAGGCATTTGATTACTGCGCTTATGCAGCGCAAGAAAATAAAATGCATGGCTGAAAGATGCACTTGAATTCTTGATTTAATCACTGAATAGTAAAAAGGTCAAAATCTCTTCTGCTCAAAGCCTCATTCAAATGATTCCCGGCCTTTGCTAGACTCTTTCTGTTTGATCAAAGCAGCGATGCTGAAGCACTGCTGGTGCCCATAGCAGTTACTCCAAAAATTGCCTTGTGCCGCAGGGAGATTACCATGGCAACCATCGCGAGTCATATGCTCGTGTGTGTATATGTGCATCTCATCGCTCTGAAGTTCACCGAAAGATGAGCGGAGTGTCATTTCCCCGCTGCTGCTGTGGATATGTGCTTGTCATTCATCAGGCTTTTTCTAGGTTGGTTCTACTTTTAGCACATTAGAAGAAAACGAAAAAAACCCAAAAAAACAATGTAGTGTTAAAAAAAGAAAGGAGGATGGCCCCTCGCTGTGGGCTTTACTAACTGTGTCAGTAATAGGAGGGAAAGGGTGGAGAGCTATGAACAGCCACGGGTCTCTGCGGTGGCCTATAAAGAAACTGGAGCAGTTTGAGTCACAGTTATCAGAAGCTGAAGGAACAGGTTGTACTGGAGATCAGGTTGTTCCATGCTCACTCTCGGCTTTGTGAAAAGAAACATACTGTACAAGACATGGATGCCCTGATCTCTTTATAATTCTGATTTGATCACATTCCTTTTTTTTTTTTTTCCTGTTCAATATTGCATCACTTTCGCTTCAGGACACCAGCTATAAATATTCACAAGCTTGTTACGAATCAAGTTTATCAATCTGCATAATTAATTTCAAAGATGCTCTGCAAATGATGGAGAGAAGCCCCCTCCCTCCCTTCCTTAAAATAATCTAATCTTTTAGTGAGTGAAGCAGACAGACAGACAGCTCGTCTTGATGGATAGTTGCATTAGAACAGTCTAAACCAATCAGAGGAGTAGAAGTGGTGAGTCAGCGTCCACCTCGGGACCACAGACAGTGGGATCGAAGCAGATGCATTTTGGGTAGCCCTGGGACATTAGTCTTCCCTAGTGATAGAAATACCAATAAATACCCTTCAGAGGAACAAGCTCGGAGACACAAACCGCACAGTTAATCTTTGTGCAAGAAAAGGCAGCGCCGGAAAGTAAATAACACTGAGTGCTCAAATAATAAATATCTATGAAGGGGGGATGAGCTCACCCACAATGGAGCTCGCTCAGTTGAAGATTAGTTAAAGCTTGCATTCACACCTGATCTATTTAGTGCACTTTGAATGAACTCTGGTGCATTTGTCCTGTTTGCTGTGGTTCATTTAGTCTGATGAGGACATTGTCATTTGAACATTTGAACAGACCAACAACAGGACTGTGGTTATGTCACATGCATAAATCCAAAAGCTAAAGATATCGTACTTTTTCCTTGCTGCATTTGTCGTAGCAGCCATTTCTCCTTTGTGGCAGCTTATTATGTGCTGGTGGGAAATGTGTGTTGGATTGGAGCTCAACAGCCGGCTATCAGAGAACCTGTTGCTGCTCTATAGGTTGGATCTTATTTCATTTTTATGTGGCCCACTGCTTACAGGTCTTTAAATTAGAAAAGGTGGAAACTGCAAGTGTTAAAGCAAGAGACAAATTAATCGTTTATTATATACAGACATATAGTTTTGTGAACAAATTTGATGCTGCAGAATTTGATGCTGCAGAACATCTTTTTTATTTATAGTCTTCTTCCTTGTCAAAACTTAGTGAATACATTACCCACAATGCAACTTGAGTACTGACATTTGGAGATTCAGGTGTGTTATGCTAGTAGCGGCTAATGTAGCATTAAGCTGCTAGCCTCAAGCAGAGAAGAGGGGTCGGCTACAGAGGTCTGGTAAGCTCACATCTTTCTAACCCTGCAAGGGTTGGATGGTGCGTCTAGGTGGGCGGGGCTTGGTGACTGCTTTGTTGTGACATCACAAAGTTCCAGAAGTCCTGACAGCTCGTTTTAAGGCTGAGTTTCTGAATACAGGCTGTGTGCATTTGTCTGTGGACTGAGGCTTTGATACTTTCACAGTGTTAATATAGAACCTAGACCTGATCTATAATCACACTACACATGGACATCTACCTTTATACTATATGGGAATTTTTTGAGACAGAATGAACTGAACTGTTGTCATGAGCAAAACCATTATCTTTAAATCTTGGATGAAAGACTCAGTCTGTAATTTGCAGATAAAACACACACCGACCACAATCTGCAGTGGCTTTGTTTCCTTGCTACAAATTCAGCTGATAAAAGCAAACACTGTTTGGCTGCTCGACACTTAAAAAGCTCAAGTAGAGTGACTAGACTGTGGGTGCCATGTGCAAGGGCACCTTAATGCTGGCTGTTATGAAAGGATAGAACATTACTCATCTAATTTCCTCTCATCTAATTTCTCCACCCGCAGAGGCACACAACTTGTTTATTCTAGTCACATTTGTCTGACAAAGTGATGTATTTGGAAGCTAAAGGAACTCACTTTACAGTGTTGACCTAGAATAAACTGACAAGGTCCTAATTAGCCAAATAACTTATCATTTACCTAATAGTTTTAAGCCCATCTAACTAGTCTTGGTTGAGCTCCCGCTGTGAGATACATGCTGACAGAACGCTGCAGGATTCGACAAAGTGAATTTATCTGTGTTTTCATCACCAGCTTGCAAATAATTCAGCAGAATATATGCATATAATAACCAGCTACTTCAATATCTGTCATCTTGACAACATGACAGACAAAGATATTCACTGCCAGCTATTGAAAAATTGCTCTCTTTTGCATATAACAGACTCAGAGTAGTGCAGCATTTTACATCAGTAAATGCTTCCTCAAAAAACACATTCAGCTCATTTTTAATCAAACTGAAATAAAGTTGTTGTTCCTTAACTATTCAACTGATTGTTTTCTCCTCATATTTAGAGACAATTAAAGCTTTGCAGGAAAGGAACAGTATGCAAGTGTTTTAGTTTAAAATGTTCAAAAATTAGCTAAGATGTATTGTACCACAGTGGTGTTTTGAGCTATATGCTAATGTCAGCATGCTAAAATGTGACAATATAAACATGCAGATGTGTAGCAGGGAAAGGTTTACCATGTTCATGCACCATGTGTACCATGACCATCTGAGTTTTGTTGGTTAGAATGCTAATATTTGCTAATTAGCACTAGATACAAAGTAAAGCTTCAGTTTATGGGAATGTTATTGATATTTGATCATTAAAGTTTTGACCTGATGATGTCGCTGAGGAAAATTTATCAGATCACCAATTTATTCGCAATTTTATCCTGAGGCAGACATGAATATTTGAACCAAATCTCATAGTCAACTGTCAAGAAATTTCTGTAAAAACCACATATGTAAACAGCTGGCTGCATTTTTGGAAAAGTCAGGGGATCACCAGAATCAGGATGATACATCGTCTGTGGCAACATCCAGTAAATGTTGAGAGATTTCATTGGATAAGTAAAAACTTTTACTTGCTGGTGTCACCAAAGTCACTAGACTTTGTCCTCTGTAAAACATGAACAAGTGTACAAGCCTTCATTATGATCCATCCAATAGTTGCAGAGATATTTTGATGGCTATTGTTGAACACACAAAGATGTTCTCAATCTGATTGAGCAGAAGTAATCTGTCAGTAGTCTGTATTCCTTCAGAAACACATCATGGAAAGACAAACAAAAACAAACGAACCACCACTTTCCTGTGACTGTGAATCTGTTCAGACAAATGCATTAATATGTTTGATGTCCCAGCCTGTAGTTTTTGTTTTGTGAAAGAAGAAAAGAAAAGGCAGAGGTTTAACTTTAGGAGAAACCTACATCGGTGAAATCACTGATTCTCTGGGCCGAACTGTTCCTCAGTCCTCCAGTGACTTTTAAACAGGCTCAGTTGGCTAAACGTTGACCTAAACGCCACAGCTAGAACCAAAAGTGCTGAGCACATTGTAAAACGTCTGACTGTGACCGTGTTGTGTCAGGGCCCTAAAGAGTCACTTAGAAGGAAAGGTAGCAAAGGAGGTATGAAAGGTCTCTGATGCTGGGGACTGTCGGAAATGGAGCAAAAAGAACGGGCGGTAGTAAAACATTTCTTTTCCTTCAGTAGCTGGCTGACAGATTGACTACCTTAAGATGTAAAGCTGCTCGGACCATTTCAGTCATGGAGGTGAAAGCAGCGGCAGAGAGCTTCCCTCAGGGATGGATGAAATGTCAGAGCCGTACACTTGTTTCAAGTCCGACTTTATGATTTGAGATCAGAAGCTATTTTCTTTTCACACACTGTGACATTCGAGGAGGCAGTAGCTTAAAGGTTAGAGAGGCAGACCAAGGTGGCGACTGGGAAAAATATGAGCTTGAGAAAGTGAACGACTGCAACTCAGTGTAAAGCCTGCACCGTAGAGAAAAGGGTAACATACTTTAGCTTGTTAGTAAAAGAAGTTTAAACATTTCATCCAAGCAGAAAAATGTCTATATTGACTGTTGGCCTTCTGTGAAAGCTTTTACACAGTCAGTGCAACTGTGTAGATATGGAAGGTTAGCACCTAAAAGGTGTTTACTGTAAGAGATTATGTGCACTCAGCAAACCCTCCCTGGATAAATAAAAACAACAAAAAAACAGATTGGCTCAGCACAAGTTCAGCATTGTCACCCATTTTCCGCTCAGAATGTCTTGCTGCTGTCTTTGTGCTGATACACTGTTTTGATAAAAGAGCTGAAAATAGCTGCAGACAGGATTAAAAGAATCATATGAGAATAACCTGGATAAAATGGGGAATGTTATCTCTGACTACAGAGGGGGGAAAAAAAGATTTGAAGTTTATGAAAAAGAGACAAGGCAGTTTCGGGACAAAAGAAGTCTAATAGACAGCAAGAACATGGCAGCCTAATTACAAATGAGAAAGTTCCTCTTGGAGGGAGCATTCAAGAAATGAAGATGTGAGATAAAAAGGATATCACTGTAATCACATTTTCACGTTTGGGGGAAGGTAAAATAATCTTAGATCTGACAAAAGACAAAAAAATGTTAGAACGTCTTTCTGCAGGGAACCATTAAATCTCTCAAGGTATTATTTGGGAAGGAAGGAGTGGTTGTCTGGAGGCAGGGGATGTAAATAGCAGCTAAGGGTGAAGGAACATTTTCATTGACTTTCAGTCCAATGAAATTGCCACGCACTCAGCACCAAAAAAAAAAGGTACAAGGTAATAAAGAAATATTGGGCAGAACAAATGACTGTAAACAGTCTGGAAGAGTGATGCCTGCACTCAGCCGTCTGGTAGTCTAATGCCCAGAGTGATGGCTCGCAGCTACCTTAATGACCTCCCTCCATTTTCAAAATCAAGCTGCATGCGAGGCGGCATTATTGACCACCTGTGCAAAGATGAACAAAGATGTTAGCAAATTCCAGCAAACCTGTGAGTCTGCTGGAGCTTGTTTGGAAAACAGGAAACCCAGTTCATGAGGCAAATATACACAGACAATGCTGTGACTTATGATCGTTCCAAACACAAACAAACAAGTTCCAAAACCTAGCTAACCTAGCTTACAAGAGGTAGTGTCTCAGCTAGTAATACTTTGAAATTAAGAACCTATTATTTCACTTAGCTCCCGTATTAGGGGCAGAAACGTAAATGCTTGAAATGTGATTGTTGCTAACTAGGCTGTTAGCCGTTAGCCTTGCTAATCAGGCGCATTACAGTTAGCTAGGCTGTCAGTGCACTGCATTTTGCTAACTTTTGCTATCATGCTAATATAGTAGGGTTACCATATTTTAAAACCTCCAAACCAGGATCTTTAACTGTACCTCACATTCATGCATGCACACATGTATGCACTTGTGTTAGCACTTAGCACACTACCGAGCGCACCTTTCAACACCATGAACGCTGCATTTTTATTATTGAGTTCGTTTATGAAAGAAGCAACCTACCAGAGTCAGTCTCCTGGAGCTCTTTAGAGAAGGTGGTGGATGGTGCATTGTTCTTGTTTTTATATTGGGTTGGGCAGGAATGAGTAGGACAGGACATGACGAACATCTATGTAAGCGCTGAAACAAGTAGAATATACTAATTATTAATTTACTTGTAGTGAAAACTGGGACATTTTAGTGTTTTACAGTTGTGTTTTACGTGCAATAGATCCAGAACCTTTGAGGCCTCTGATATTTTGTTTTGCCCAGTTAGTAGGCTAATCCAGATTTTATACAATACAGTCATGACTGGTTCTTACATATGATTGAATTTAGCTTTTTTCCATCAGCTTCCATCATATTGCACTCAGCCCTGAGGTCTGAATGAAAGTTCTAGGACTCTGAATGCTCCATCATTTCTGTCAGGAACTAAACTCAACACTGGATTTCTGTAATTGATAGAAAACTGACCCAGAATCTAAGAGTTACTTGATTTCCTCGGCTGAATATATTGACGGATTCTGCAGACACATCTTTACTTCACCGCTCACCGCAGCAGCCTGAGTAACAAACCTCCTCTGCTGTTTTAGCCTTTACTGTGGTCCATCGAGGTTAAACAAGCACAGTCATAGTATTTCTGTTTCCAGAGCAGCTCTGCTTTGTTCAAAGTCTTGTTCAAAAAAAAAAGAAAAGAAATTCTCTAAAACTCTTGTCTGCCGTTTTGCCTTTGGCCCTCCATCCTCCCTCAAGGGTGGAAGCTGTCCAAGTCAAATCCATGAATTTATAAAGCTCTGGACAGCACAACAAGGGCTGTAACACAGGCAAGACCAGAACGCACACATTTTGACATATGACACCAAGGATGTGTGTGTGTCTTTTTGTGTGTGTGTGTGTGTGTGTGTGTGTGCGCTGTCTTGAGTGTAGAAGACTGCAGACCATCCCTCCACTCCATTTACACTGTCTTATTCTCCTTTATTTCTACAGATCAAGGTAAAGTTCTCAAAGTTCTTCACACCAGCGAGGGAGTCTTCATCATATCCCAGTATTCTCTGTTTCACAACGAGGGTCCCGTTCTAAACATGGCCATCGACTCCCAGAAGGTATGAGAAATAGTGTGTGTGCTTTCACCATAAATATTACATCAGGTCTTATACAATGCTGGGGAAGGCTGCAGGCTTCAGGTATTCGTGGTAGATTGATTATACTAATTATACTAAGAGGAAGGAAGATTTGAAGTGATTTATATGTTTTTAGCATTAGTTTAGAAGTGTGGTTGACAACTGGCCACCCGCTATAATCTGATTGGACCGACAGTCCCACATTTACCTATAATGTCCAAATAGAGAATCTGCGCCTCACCTGAAGAATGAGTTTTATGCTTTTATCCATAAGTGAATGACAGACACAGATTGTCATGCATCAATGGCTGCAACAGTTACACACAGAATCACTTCCTCGTAAGTGATTTTGCCTCTAAAATAAAAGCGGCAATGCTTTATTTCAAGCTATTGTGAGCTTTAATTCTGAAAAGTTATGACAGGATGTTCCAAAGGTTTTGTTGCATGTATTACAGATCAGTCAAACATAATGTGATTGTGGGCTATAATGTAAATTCCAGCTGCATTTTTAATCAATTTTTTAAATTACCCTTTGATTATGTTCTGGCCCGCCATCTAATGATCAAATTTACTTGCCAACCTCTCAAATAGAAGTTCAGAGTTTAATCTAGAACAATTCATCTTTTCATTAGGGTTTTTTTTTTTTACACAGATAAAGATGAACATAATGAAAATTGTTTTCACAGTTTACATGTTACGCCCCACCTTTTAGTGGCCCTAAAGGACGCAAAACACTCACACACCAACAAACTCATAAGACTCCTCTTAAATAACAAAAGGGTTTATTTAACATAAATGTGCAAAAGAATCAGGACACCTAATTAAGACAAGCAGAAATCCCAGGCTGAGTTAAACCAGCAGTCCCCATGCCGAAAGCCTCGGCCCTTCTGAAGGTGGCACCAGAGTTTAACCTACATACAAGTGACCAAACCAAAAGTGGACAGCAACAGCCATGAAACAAAAATGGTGACAACGCAGTCAGCCACGACACTTACGCAGCAACCAACAAGTGACCCAGCAAAAGTGGAGTGCAGGTACCACAACAAAAAAGGTCACACATAACCAGTAAGTGTTTATCACAGCTACACGAGACAAAGCCAACAGACTTAAGGTGGAGTCAAACCCACAAAAGAGATTGCAATTAAGCTGCTGTGCAAAGTGCAAGATTACAAGGGAAACAAGCTGTAGAGAGGCACCCCAACCTGCCTTCAGTGGCACCCCAGGAGGCTTTCCTTAAAACATTAATCTCTGTAAGTCAGCAGTGAAGCCAAGACAAGGCCCACTGCCTCACTCAGACAACCTACCCACACCCAGGTATACCACCAAAAGTAACAAAGGCAAAATAACAAAGTGGCGAGACTCAGTCTGCCCGACGATAATTAGGGTGTTCTCAAGCAACCTCCAGGGCAGTAAAGTGAACATCTAGTCAAAAGCACAAACAGACAAGCAGCAAAACCATAAAGGATCTACACTCCAGCAGTGACCCAACAAACTCATAAAACGCCTCTAAAACAACAAAGGGTTTATTTAACATAAATGTGCAAAAGAATCAGGGCGCTAAGAGGCAGCAGAACCAGCGGTCCCCCACGCCAGAAGCCTCTGCCGTTCTGAGGGTGGCACCAGAGTTTTTAACCTTTCCTTCCCAGGCCAGGTGGATCTCGTGGAGTGATCAGGGCGGAGCTGCCACAACACTCTGCACCATTCAAGGCTTTTTTCTTTTTTTTTTTAACCTGATCATATACACAAAATTTGGAATTTCTTGAGTAAAAAGTTTTTCATGCAATTATGAGTCCCCCATTTATTTCTATAACATAGACTCTACAAAATTCAACATTTCCAATGTATAAAATAAATAGCTGTGGTTCATTTAGGCCTGTGTCTAATGAATGGATAAGATAATTAATAAATCTGATTATACGGTGAATCAGGTTATTATAAAGACCCTGGTCTTTATAAAATATGAACTATTTTTCCAGCCATGTCGTCCATTGTCCATATTATAGAAATTCCTTATTTTGTGTTGTAGTTCAGGGTTTTACTGCTCCGTGTTGGTTTGGAAGCTGCTCTGCTCAAGAGAAAACACACGTGAAGAAAGTGGCTGCTTTGGTTTTGAATCACGAGGCGACACTGACTAGTTTGAGTCCAAAAGGCACATACTGGATTGTATCTTTTCCTCCTTAGGGACACCTGTATGTCGGCACGGCGATGGAGGTCCAGCGACTGCCGCTGGCTGACTGCGGTCGCTATGGCGACACATGCAGGGAGTGCATTCTTTCCCGGGATCCGTACTGCGGCTGGGACAGAGCCAGGAGGAAGTGCATCGCCATCCCGCCTGGATACAACGTCTCATCTGGGTACGATGATTAGATATGATGTCACCACTGCAGAGCTATTGGCTGTTTCCACATGGGCTGACAGGAGGGGGGGAGGAGCTCATTAGTAATGTCTAAAACTCAGTATCAGTGGTGAGCTGAAGCTTAAATCTGTAATTACAGAAATGAAATTTGCTTTAACTATGAAGAAACTGCGGTTTAAAGAAGAAGATGCATGTGGAGCTTTTGTTAAGCACTGACTGCAAATTTCTCATGTAGTAATTTGCTCTGGCTCTAATGGACATTGTGAATTTCCAATTTTAAGAAAGAACAGGAAAATTAATCTGTACTGTGTTGTAATAAGCCTCTGACTCAGTTTTCTCCTTTTCCCACTCTCACATTCCTGAACGATTTAGTCCCTGCCTGTTTTAATTCGCAGCAGGTTGATGTGGCGACTCGCGAGCTATTTGTGAAGCTATATTCAACCCTGCTAATTTGTCCTCTCCATTATTTTCCAACAGGGCGCTCATTCAGAATCTGGACCATTCGAACTCCTCGGTTTGCGGGGAAGCTGCTGGTGAGCCCTTATCTGCTCTCTCCCACTCTCTCTGTATCTTAATTAACCAAAAATAGGAACCTTTCTGAGCAGCTAGAGTAAAAAGATGATTATCATATAATTGAGTGGAGTACAACAAGCCACAGGGAGATTTTTTTTTTCTTTATGTTATGTCTTGCCCCGTTTCAAAGCTCAAAACCCAGTTATAACCTCGACTAATTATGACAATTACTCCCCTCTGAAGGGAAGGCTATCTTCTTTAGTGATCAGATTTTAACACTAGCATTTATTTCCAGGTGTCAGTGGTGCCACATGTCCTGTCTGTGGATCCAGGAACAAGTTTCGCTTTATTTCCCCAGAAAATAACACTCAGAGGCGATGAGAAGAAACCTGTTCCAGTCTTTTAATTGATATCTCGCAGCAAAGGAATTAAAGGTTTACTTTTCACTGAACTTGGCAGGAAGGTTTTTCCAGCATCTTGGAGAACATTCCTCAGCTCTGCTGTGGATTTAGTCTGTCTGGGAGTCCTCTGGCTCTTCGTGTGATCCCACACTGACACTGCCATCTGTTCGGGGACTCCTTCTCGTTCTTCTCATTGCTGTAAATAATTCTTTATGACTCGGGCTGCATGTTTGGGGTTGTTGTGCTGCTGCAGGATGAATCTGGCACTGATCAGAAGTGCCTGAGATGTTTGCACGGCGCTGTACATGTGATAACTTCATTGTACACAGTAGGGTCCAAAAGTCTCAGACCCTCAGACACTTTCCCATTCAAGTGGATTTTTCTTATTTTTCTTCAGAGATTCTTCAAGATAGAGAGGGAAGTCACTCTGAAGGATTCTGATTACTGTTACACCAGCTCTGACGGAGTATATATGTCAATCCTGAACAGAGCTTTTTCTAATGGGGTTACTAGAAGGTGTGTAACTATGCAACCGATACAACCACCCACCATCCACAATCTCATGTCATGATGCTGGAAGACGCCTGCGGTAAAAGTTATGCTAGTTTAATTAGGTTCAGATAGATACCACCCCCACCACCCCGGAAACAAATCGCAGGTATGAACCGAATCATGGTTCAACGACGACATCTGAACCGAACTTTGGATTTGAAGAATAGTTATACCCTTAATTCAAAAGCTTCACAGGTCTGACGAGGTTAGTTCAAGCAGAGAGGTTTTATTTTTCGTTCGCTCGAAGAGGACAGGAACTGTTGTCTATGTTTTGTTTCTTTAAAAGTTGTTCTTTCGATGTTATGATGTTGATCACATTCGGAGTTGACACACCAATTATTGTGTAATCATCAGAACACAGTCTACGCAACTTATTACACACTTAGTGAGGACATCATCCTTACGTTTCCTGGTGATGAGTTTTCCTTTGTCTATTTATTCCAGATAAGATAAAAACCTTAAATACATCACCTCAGCTGCACTTTTTTCCCCTCAAAAAGATCATTGTTGGATTAAGCTCTTAGGGGCCTCAAGGCCAAAAATGATCTCTGGGCCTCTATTGACCGCTTGGCACAGGGGACAGGTAATAATGCAGGTCCTGCCTTAAGGCCCTTATCATATCGGTTGATAATGTGCTTTAGTGCAGCCTGGTCCTAGACAAATTTGCAATCAATCAAAAGAGTGTAAACCAATTGAAACATAATGAATATTGGGACTTCAGGGAGTTTGCGACCCTGAAGTAGTTGAACCTGAAGCCTGTTTCTCAGTTGTTAATCCAGCCTTGGAAAATATCTACAAAACCGCCGATGTTCTGAGCAGAAAATATAAACATAGTCTGGATATGAGCTAAATCACTATAATGCTGTTACAGGGGTCAACAGAGAGCGGTACACTCAGCATTTACTGTATATAGAGTCTCTGTAACAGCAGTTACTTTGGCAACACCGCACATTTTATGTGATTCATTTTAGTATGAAAGTCTTCATTTCTTTTTCCCTGCAGCTCTGAAGCAGCGTCGAACTTCACCCAGAGAAGTGATGGTGCAGTCCAACACCTCCGTCTTTCTCCCCTGCCCTGTGCGCTCCTTCCACGCCACCTACCGCTGGGAGAAGGATAACTGCTTCAAGAACTACCCCTGCCTCTTCGCCGGGGACTTCTGCGTCCTGGGGCCGATCGTCGACACGCCCCTCAAGGACGGCGTCTTCCGCTGCATGGCCACCGAGGACGGATTCAAGGTGGAGGTTATCTCCTTCAGGCTGGTGAACGATGGCAGGCTCCTGGCCGCCTCCCTGGCCTCCACCTTGGGGCCGTCGCTCCTGCTCGCCGTGGCTACTCTGTGGCTCCATTAACTGCAGCTAACGCTAATGCTAACCCCTCATCCTTACTGGCTCCCAATGACAGGAAAGACGAGGAGCCGCTGTTAGGAGGTTAGGTTCGCAGAGCATTGAAGTACATGGTTGGGTTGTACAGTGCCAATTCATCTTTTTTCAATTTTTAGAGAGAGTCCAGCAAATGTCAGTGAATGATTTTAGCATAAAGCAACATTCAGTATCTGCAGCTGCAGCGGTCTTAACAAGAGCAGAACTGAAAAATACATACGTTATTTTAATCAAACTAAAGTGACTAGGAGTTGCTGTCCATGAATTAACATATCTTGCGAGTTTGAACTCGATTCAACCATAATTAGGTGCTTTGCAAACCTTTCCTCTGACTCCAAAAGATAAACATATCCAATGAGTTGGGCAAAAAAAACCACCAATACCAGGCCAATTCTTTTTACCATTTCTCTACTTCTTTTAAAACTGACTTGATTGTGCTTATTTGTGAATACGTAAAACTTTAATACCACTTCTCCATCTTCATCGTTCACCTTGTTAAACTTTGTTGGTATAGCTCATTAGTACTAAGAAAAAAAATGTCTGGTATTGAGATTTAAAAAGCCTTAACACTTCTGGGACATAAACTCCTAAGCACAATTTTGCAGTCGAGGCAGAATACTGCAGACTCGGGTGGACTTGGCGCTATAATTAGTGCAGCTGAGTCTGAGAACATCACTGGGAGGAAGTGTCAGCTTTTTGACAGGAAGTAGGCGGATGGGCAAGAGCTCATCCTCGAACATCACTGTGTCTCAGCACCTCCTCCTCAGACGAGGCAGTTTCTTGCATCTTTTTATCAGATGGTATCAGACATTGTTGTTAGGCCTTGTTCACAGCTTCGTCCGTTGTTGTTGTTTTTTTTTTTTTCCTTAATACATGCCATCGTCTCTCCTTCCTCCCCAAATCATCAGAGCAAAACACTCACTTTTACCGGGTGTGAAAAACACAACATCGCCCACAACTTCTTTGGACAAAAAGTTAGTTAATGTTAAGCGTCACCGCCCTCAGAATCTTAAACATAAAACCATTAAAAACTTACACTATTCTCTTTAAATCTACATGAAAGTTTAAATCTGTTCTGGTTCTTTTATTGTGGAGGGACGGTGGTAACAAGCATTGATTACTTTTCTTATTCTGGGTACATGGTCATGTTTTTTGGGGAAGAGAGCGGACAGCAACAAAGACGAGCCAATTTGCTGCGAATGTCATCTGATTGCTGTCAGACCCAACAATGCATAAAGATGTGAACAAGGTGTTACGCTATAGCAGTTTCAATTAACACATACTTACATCGTCACAGGGGGCAGATGAAGCTAAATGGAATCGCATAGTAGAGTTGCATTTCATAGTTTGCCAGGAGAAAGAAAAGAAAAAAGAAAACAAAAAAAAGGCTTGTAATTAGGTCAGTGAAGTATGTTCTGTATTTTATTGCTCTGCAGATGCTGATTTCTACCATTGCTGCCTACGTTCGTGACGGTTTGTCTTGATGGTTTGGGTTTTTAATGCCATAGTTAGAACGTGATATGTAAACACTGACTGCTTTGCCTCTTCCCCCCACCCCCCAGGGACATCAGTGCTAATAGACAAGAAAGTGTTTTGATTTTCTTCTTTTTCATACTTGTGTCTTTATGCTGTGAAACAAACGGACAGATTTTCCAACGAGATGCTTCACTGATGTACAGCAGCAACCACAACCGGCGGCGAGGGGCAGAGGCTTCACGCAACAAACGCGCCCCCGGCCTCTTCTTTTAACCTCTCGCTCTGATCGCACTAAACGTTTTTAAGTGGACACTTTAAAGCTGAATGTAAAAAATTGGAACGAAATGGTGAATGTAGCTGCAGCTGAACATTATTGAAATGCCAAAAATGATGCCAAACCTTATGAATACTGATCAGCTGACTGAGGAAGTAGGCTTGTGCGGTGATGAATTATGCAACGGATTAGCATGTTCCTCCCGAGCTTTGAGAATTACCATTCAGTAATGTTACATAAATCTGTCCGTGCCCAGCCTTCCACAGTGGCAGAAATGTCATTAATAACTAATTAGACAATGGAGCCGGTTCGTCATGCACCACATTTAAAGAATTTATTTAAGGGCCGTCAGGGAAACGAGCAGCGAGCGTTTTTCTCAGCTGTGAGAATCTCAAGGCGGCAGTGGTGGCGGTGGCGGCGGCGGTGGCGGCGTCGTGTTTCTCACTCAGCTCGGTTGTGTGTTGCTGCTCGGGGGATCTGCTTGCTTTCTGCATTGCACTGATTTGGCTACTGACTGTGCCAAAAAAAAAAAGAAAAAAACAACAAGAAAAACAAAGCTATGTTGAACCACCTCATTCGCCCGCCGCTTATTGCTTGCTCTTATGTTTATTTGGAAAAATCCCTCGTTCCTTACCTTGCATAATATTTTGTGCCAGATCAACCCTGAGCGCGTGTTTTTTCCTCACAACCAAACTCACAAACACAAACCTTCTGCAGCTCTAAACATGCATATTAATCATCTTTGTGTCTCTGTGTCGCCACCGGGGCGGGAAATTAACACCAGCCACCAGCCAAGTGCTGGTAAACATTTAGCAGAGGCTGTTCATGAACTCCATTCTGCAGGAGACTTTTGGCAGGAGACTAACTCGACATACACAGACGAGCTCCGAGGCTTTTTCCTCTGTAACCTCCTTTATACTGTAACTGTACCTGCTGTGTATGTGTCGTGATTGGACTCGGAGAGCTGTTACCACGAGCCGCTGTTAGAAAACAAGCCTATGCTATTCCAATGAGGCAAACAAACCAGGGATCATAAGCTTCTTCACTGTCCCAAGTCCATACTAGATAAATACACCTATTGTATTTAAGTTCTCCTAACAGGTGGTGTCTTGCGGTAATGCAGATAATCACAGTGGATGGTTGGTGGATGACATGCAGTACAGAGCATACAGCTTAGAGCTGGTAGACCATGGATCATGTCTCATTTCCTGCCACTGACACTGGTTTATTTGAACCATTTCCCCAACCTTAAACATGAAGGGAATTGTTTTTGAATCACACATAATTGATTAAGAACTGGACTTAAAGTAAAGTATTGAGCAGCAGTATCGTGGTGGAGGAGGAAATGCTCAACTCCTTTGGCTTAGTACAAGAAATTCTAAAAAGTCCTGCGTTCAAATCTTTATTTAATTATGAAAACATAACCAAGAATGATCAGATGCGTTAAATATTGTAAATTATGTGTCATTAATATGTTTAATATTTGATGCAGTAAGCAATATTTAAAACAAATTTAAAACAAGTGTGTGTGTTATGTGAGTAATCATAATCTGCTTAATTAGTTGTAACTACAGACATCGGATAAATATAAAGTAGTAAAAATGAATGTTGAGTGAGAATGATTAAATGTACTGTCGCATTTTTGGCACGAAAAGTTATGTTCTTGACCACATGTACAAATAATAGAATGTGCCAGTGGATGTCAGAACTACCTCTAATGTCAAATTTGAAAACTTTTGATTTTGATTTATTATTTATTTCATTAATATTTTTACATTCACATGCACCTTGTCCATTTGGCAGACATCCAAAGCAATGTACAAGCAGAGCAGAAACATTTTTCCAGGATCTACAACCATCCACAAGCGTTTTTACAGTTTTACTTTTGTGCTTTATATTGCACATTTTTCTACTACAGCACTGAACAGGTCCAGGCTATAGTGTGGATTTGGGACACGGGGCTTGTTTTCCTCGGCAGAAGAGATGACCTGAGAATTAAACCTGGTCGCCGACGTGTTGCTGTGCAGAGCTGATTGTATTTCCCCCCCTTCCCTGATGAGGAGCTCTGGTCCTCAGGGAGGTGGTGGAATTAGGCTTTCATCATCATCCTCATCATCATCATCATCACCATCCTTAACTCAACAGGGCTTTGCTTTAATATCCACACTCACTCTTACGGTCGATGCGTGGAATTAAAATTGAAAGCATTTACCAACACTCGCCGTCCTCAAACCGCTTCTCCCCTCTGTTCGAGTCCTTGCTTTGATATGGATATTCACACGGCTGCTGCATCGACATTGAGTTATCGCTTATTCACATCCGTCATCGTCAGCCAGTCTGAGAGAGGGTAATCTCCTTCAAAGCAAGCTCTTGATTTGCCTTCAGGAAACCGTTTTGGTGGATCACGCTATCTGCTAGAAATGAATCGACGTCGACTGAAGCGGGTTGCTGTTTTGTTTGCTCTGGGGTTTTGAGTGTCAAGTACTGTACATGATGTGTGCCCACTATTCTGTGTCTTGATATATATAATTTTAAAATTAACATGCCAAACTCTATTATTGAAAAAAAAAAAAAAAGATTTATATTGGTGCAATGCCAGTCTAATGCCATCTCATAACATGTATTTTTAAATAACAGATATCTATAGTGCAATAGATATTCATGTAACAAATCCATATTGACATGTGTTTCCCTGAACATGTGCGGTGAAAATTAATAAAATGTAAGTATAAAGGAAGAATGTTTTGTCTTTATTTGATTTAATTTCAACAATTAACCATCAATAATGAAGTATTCAAGTGTTCCAAATGGGAATTTAAGTGGATAATTAATGGATAAATTAATGGATTGTAATATATTAAGGTTTAAATAGATACTCTACATATGTTAAGTGATTTTTTTAAAGGTTAATAATAGTCATCCCTTAACTTACCTAATTGAACCTCAATTTTTTTTTTTTTTTTACAAATTTCATTAAGAAACCCTTTAAAAAACATTAAAATGCTACAATCCATAATTGTATCCATCAATTTTTCCCATTTCTGGTGTAACATATTACATATTATATTCAGACCCTGAATAGAAACCAAAATCCTAGCAACACAAACACTAAAACTGATAATTAATAAATGTGTCCAATATTTCAAATTAAAGTATCCCTACAGTTAATGGATGAAATTTTAATAGTTTTTTAAAAAAATAACAGACAAATAAATGGATCTCTTGCTACCACAAACATGACTTTGATGAATGTGCTCATCATTTATGGAAGACCACAAGTGTAACGGAAATAATAATGAAGCATTTCATTAATTAATAACTAATTGTACAATAAGAAAAAAAAACAGGTGCTGGTCAATTTGTTTACAAATTAATTTATGAATCCATAAATAAATTATTAAAATGATTCGTTATTTGATATTTTAATGGGCAAGTTGGAATTATAAAAAAATATTTAGAAATAAATATGTATGTATGTAAATGTAAATATCTATAAATGTTTTTTTGTAATTTAGTCTATTTGTTTATAGATTCATAGATACATTTGTAAACAATTATATTAATGCGTATTTTAATTTTACAATTAGTTATTAAATAATGAAATGTTTTATTACTATTTCCGTGACGCTTGTGGTCCTCCATACACATTGTGTCAGGGGTGAATGAAGAATTAATTAGTGGTGTTTTGATGTTTCATAGTGCAGAGACAGATGCCTGTGTGACGTCTATTGATAGGAATGATTTTACATAACTTCCTGTATGTTAATTTAGCTGCTTTTTATTAATCGCTATTATTTGTTAAAGTTTTCAAGTTGTTTAAATGATAAAGAAGGTGCATGTAGACTTTTACACAAACAGATTATAAAATGGTTTCCACTCAGTTGGAGGTGCCTCTCACGACAATCAGGTTTCATCACCATCTGCTGGACACTGTTTGGTGTATTGACAGGAATATTGCAAAGGATAATAATAAAGGCTATTGAGTGTGTCACATCCACTGAGCCATAAATCCAGTCTCCACTGGTTCTGTCTTCATTCATCCTCCACGCCAGGTTGAATCTTAAGGTTACTTCCATGTTGTTGCAGCCATTCTCCTCTATTACCGATCAATGGCTGCGTATGAGTTTAGAGCCACCAGCCAACTCCACCAATGAGCCCTACTGTAACACTGGTGTCAAACCTGTCTGCTGCAATAATCACAGATGATGTAACACTAGCCAGCAGCAGACTATATAATAGAACTTGAAAAGGAAAATCCAGCACTTTCAGCTTTGATGAATGTTTTATAGCTGAAACATCCATTTACGTCTGAAGGAAAAGTATTCGACTGCAGCTTTAACTCCAAATTTCAGAATTAAATTAACTACAGTATATGCACCAGATGAAGGAGTGAAGTCTGTGGCGTGCAAGCTAATGAGGTCTGTCAGGGAAGATGAATTTTCATACTTGTGTAAGACTTGTCAGTACCACCTTTTAATGGCTTCCCTAATGGCTGCAACGGAAGAAATTATACAAAAGTTGAGTAAAGAGCTAAACCTCTGAGATACAATGGTTTAGCTCTTTACTCAACTATTTGTGTGAATTTCACCTTTGGTTTCACAGCGTGGGTGGACATGAATGAACAATGTGTTCACCGGAGGGGGAGATTTCTCAGCAGTGGCCTCCGAGTTCTGCATGCTTGACTTTGAAAAGATATGCCCCGGACACTACATTCAGGCTGAAAAGAAATATTCTACAAACTCCTCTGTAGCGTTGTAAAAAAGAAAGCAGCAGTTATAACTTCTACCGACCTGAAATACCAGGGC